CACTTTCTCTGAATTATATTTTCTATCATCGCTGGCTGGCCAGAAGCTCTTTTAGTTTTACTCCATCTGATATATATCTTTTATCACCACTGGCTGGCCAGAAGCTCGTTTATCTCTCATCAGCTCACATTCGCCAATATCAACTCTTCAAAACTTCTATTTCCTTAGTCAACTTATTGACCCAGGTGGTCACGGTCTTCCCTCCAAATTAATACACCAAAACTTCCATACTTCCTTTGTACTGTTTTCCTGTGATTGAATCCATTACATCGCCTGCCAATGGATATCGGATTAACTGGGACAAGTTCCGCTGGGGCACACTCAAATTCTGAAGGTCAGTTCCTGTACTGACATATCTGTATTTAAACTTTGTTATTGATTTCGCCACTTTTTTGCCACTTGTCATAGGTCGCAGCAAACGCCAAAGAGTCAGAGACGGTAAGTGGTTTTAATTCTTTCCCACATATTTCCGATCTAATGTTATGGTTTGGATGTTTCTTTTTCAGATGGTTCTATGCATCGACAAAGCTCGCCACTAATCGATGACAATGATGATTCGGATGATTTTGATGAAAGTGACTCGGGTCAAGCCTGGCTCGCAGCGTAACCAAAAGCGTGCAGCGCGGCGGTACGCTGCGCTCGGCGCACCCGCTCAACTGCCCGGGTAGCCGGAAACCCGGGCGCAGCGTCTTTCGCATGAATTCCGGGGCCAAATTTTTATCAACTACGCACCCGGCTACTGGGGCCGGGTGGACAGCCACCATTCAGTTAACTCAACACACCCCACGCTATCTGCCACCACACCACCAATTCATCTCAATAGATCTCAATCGATGGCCGCCCTTTCCAGATCAATCAACACGACTTCATTAGTGCCATGTTTCTTTCAACGCTCAGACCTCCAAACCTCACCAAATGAAATCAAGTGGCTGTTGTTATGGAAAAAGGCTATCATATGGTTCTTCTTGCAAAATGAGTCCTCGTTTTGGGTTATAAAGGTAAGCATTGATCACGATCAACTACAGTCCAAACTAGTGGTTCACCATCACATTTGTTCTCTTAACTTTACATTCAACCATCACTGATCAATTTTACATTTCGATTTTTTTCGTTTATTCTCATAAATAGACTAATATGTTGACCAAGCAAACCACTGTAGATTCCTTCCTGGCCTCTGGATACGAAACCGATGATACATCGGCTCCTCCAACTGCTTCAGTTCCAACTCGAAGATCATCTCGAATCATCACACCAGCCAAAAAAGCTCCCAGTATGATCACCCCCAGTTCGGACTCTCGACGAGCTCTTGAAGACTGGAATTCATTCAGATCGATCAGGGACGTCAGAGACGCGCACGTCCACCGAAGCCGAGAAAGATCAGCCTCCTTACCAGGCGACAAATTGATACGTGAACCAGCTCGTGGCCGATCAAAGACAGTCACACGTCAATCATCCACAGTAAGTTTTCTTATTTCGTTCATCTATCTCTGATTC